TTATGATTCAATTAGGAAAATCAACAAAAATCTTAACCTAAACCTTAAAACCCTTATCCTAAAAAAATTATAAATTAGCTAAGTAAAATAACAAATTAATAAAGTGAAAGATGAATATACCTCAAATTGGTTAAATAGGGCACTTGTGGGTGGTGGCGATGTCGATAGTAGTGATAGTAAGGAGAGATTGATGGTTTTCATGAGTGGATGGATAAAGAGAGAACTGACAACTACAAAAAAAAAAAAAAGTGAGGTCTATCGTAAGGAAGTGATATAAATGATCTTTTTATAGTGGAGAGAGAGATCAACTGACTTGAGTTAAGAGCGATAGTGAAAAGAGGGAGAAGCAGAGCTAGAAAGAAGTGAAGGGATAAAAAAAAAGAGAGGAAATCATCATTAAAATAATTAAAAGGGTAGTTGTGAATGCATTGTATGCGCAATCTACAAGTGATGCATTTATTATATGCACAACCAGTTTTTGCACATGTAACCGTGTATATAGTAAAAGTGCAACCTATACGTTCCATATATACTACATATACTATTATTGTTTTTGTGCCACAGTGAGAGTTATTTTTTTAACTGTGCGAGTTAGAGAAATAAGTTTGTTCACTATGCTAATATGGAAAAAGAAACTCTAACAAAAGATAGTTTTAGTTTAATTATTTTGGTCTACAAATTTAGTTTGATATTCATGTTGAAAATATATATATATATGTAACTTTATTTTATATTAGTTGTATTAGTCTAGATACATCATTTTGACCAATTTATTGTTTTATGTTGGAATAGAATGGATAATAGAGGGACATAACCATGCAAATATGAATGGAATACAAAGAAATTACTAGATTATTGATTCGTGTTGTGTTGTGGGCCTGATTATTTTTTTGTCTAATATAAAAATTTATTTAGGTGTTGCTAACATTTTTTTTCTAGTAGAGTTATTTTCTTTAAATCATGTAAGGGTTGAAATAATGTGACTTGGTCACCTTGGCGGGCCCAAAAACAACCTGAACAACCAATAAAAATATAGTTTAACTAAAAAAATTATTCTTGATGACATTTTTTTTTCAAAAATTTTAAACGGCAACATATTGGATTTATTTGAGTTTAGCTTGTCAAAATCGCAATCCTAGTCATAAGATTATGATAATCTATATAGAAAAAAATTAAAAAAATAATAAAATCTAATTCTCAATAAACTCAATGTTAAAAGATAAGATAAAAAAATCAATTAAAAAAATATCTCAAAAAACAACTCCAGTCAACTAAGTTAATTTATTAAACCTATGACTCGGGTCATAGGTATAAAATAACTTTATAAATAAAACAAGTCAAAACAAATTATAAAACTCAAGTCTTAATCAAACCAATATTGAAAGATGAAATTAAAAAAAAAATCAATTACAAACATATATAAAAATTATCCAAGTTGACCTAGGTTAATCGACCACGTCCATTGTACAAGTCATAAGATTGAGATAAACTTATAGAAAGCGATAAAAAACTACCTTAAGTCAACCTAGACTAACCCACTAAACCCGCGACCTTTGTCATGAGGTTGAGATAAACTTAGAGAAAGCACATCAAAATAAATTATAAAGCACAATTCTCAATTAACTCAATATTTAAAAATGAAATTGGTAAAATAATTAATTTAAACAATAAAATATTATTTAAATAAATAGTGCTTTGTAGAGTAGTACACAATGAAAATAAGCCTCATGAATAACTTTGTATAAATAAAATCAAAACAAATCATAACATTAAAAAATAAAATATTGAATAATAAAATTAAAAAAAATAACTGAATGAATAATGATTTATGATATTTTTCAATGATAAAATCACTATCTTTTTAGTGATTTGTTAATTTTTTTAGAAACATTAAATAAACATGTAAAATTAAAATTATTAGAAAAACTAATATTAATTGATGTGCAAATTAATTTGAAGACGCATATGAAAGGGTTGCCCAGATTCTTAGTTATGAAAACTATATACAAGTAATAACCATGAAATTAATGAGGGGCAAAAATAATTTGGCAGTTATAGCCTTCGTAAATTCGTGTTTCTAGAACCAGTTGAACAATTTGGTCACAATATGTGTGCTTCATTGATGATAAATTCGTGACACTAGCCTTACGATGATATGATGTGAGTTGGATTTTAATTTAATCTATAATGTGAAAGAACAAGACCCAAATGTTTATTAATATAAGGGTATTATTTACGTACAAGACACAAATGTTTATTAATATAAGGGTATTATTTACGTACAAGACACAAATGTTTATTAATATAAGGGTATTATTTACGTTTAATGAAATGAATTAAGAATATTTAAATATATAAATTAAAAAATAATTATTAATACTAATTAAATATTAAAATAAAAAACTAATTTTCTTAATAAAAAGTAAAAGAGTTGATATTAAAATACACGTGGATGTGCTTTTTTGGCATTAATAAATGACAACTATTGCGAGGTAAATTTTTCGCTCTGTGAATAAAATTGTGCAGCAACCTAGTACTTTACTAGACTCAGCTTTTTTTCGCCAATTCTATTTGTGTTTATCTAGTAATTAAGTGTTACCCTTGCTCAAAATGTTTCCTCACTTTTCCAAAGTTAAAAGACAAGTAGAATATATAAGTAGATTGTACAATACAAAGCATACCGAAAATACAAGAAGAACTTTCAACCTTTATTTATCTCGTCAACAAAAGAATACACAATATGTGCTATGCACAGAATTCACATGTTACACAACAAAGCTTACACCTGTTATTTCCTCTCTATACATCCTATATACAATTAAGAGTATCAACAACTATTTATAGCCAAGTATGTGAGCTGCAATACACACTTATTATTTTTATTTTTTCAGGATATAGTGGGGGTATTTTCTCTCCTATGATCTTTGTGATTTTAATGACCTATTTTCCATTAAGTAGTGAATAGTTATTGCCTATTATCCCATGATTTAGTAGCTTGTAGAACAATCCTCTAAGTAGCCTCCATGTTCTGCCCCATGATTCCATAATCTAGGAAGTTCATAATAGCTATTAACCTATATTTTTCATGTCCACCTAGCAACTCCAATTATCAATTATTGTTGTGTCAGTTGTTGAGTCACTCATATATTTTGGATAATTATTCATCCAAGTTTTAGATCGTGACAAGTGACAAGTTAAACCCATAATTTGGATAAACTATTATGCGCCGTAGAATTTACATCTGTATGCAGTCTGCTAATTCATGTGCTGCTGAATTCATATTTGAATGCAGATTGCCAATGCTTATCAAATTTTGCTACAGTCCTATTCTTGTCAGTATATATCCCTGATGAGTTTTCCTACTTAGCCTTAACATTCCATCATCTTGCTTATATTCGTTAATAATCTATGCTGCCTATTTTTTTTTAACAAACCTATAGCTGCAAAAATCCGTGCTGCTTTTTTATCCCACTGTTAGCATGATTGCCAGAATGTTTAAGCACTATTTTGGACAGTTTGTTCACACGTGACACTGTTACAGCAATACTGTTTCCACTAAACTTCACTTAAAATGCGAGGACCAAATAAAAAATAAAAAAACTGCTCCATTTATGTGAACAGTTCAGTTTACTGGAAAACCACCCAAATCGTACAAGCGTACTGTATAATTAACATTGAAAAGATGATCGTCGGAATCATTTGAAGTCATCGGCGGTAAATTCGCAGAAAAATAATTAAAATGCTTCTGTTTATAAAAAAGAAATAATAATAATAAAACGTGATCATGGTCACGGTAACTTAGAGTCAGGGAAGCAAAACCCACAAAATACTTAAAGGCGACCTCAGCCTGTCGTCCTCGGTGTCAGTTTTTCCCTTCACTCTGCTCGAAACCCCCTCTCTGCCATTGCATGAATAATAAATATGAAGGTAATGTGACCTGTTATCCTTATCCTTTGCCCCCTCCATCAGGTAACCTTCATCTCTATTTTGTTAGCACAGATGACCACTAGAGTCAACTCCCTCAACCATGAAAATTATGCGCCATTATTCTATGAACATCTCTAATCATGCAATCAAGCGACGAGGGTTTCATTAATTCATATAAAAAATTATTTGCAGACAACCAAATAAGGGTGAGCATCGGCTCAAACAGTTCGATTTGAATAGAGACAGATTGTCCTTTCCTTTCATAAATGTGAGAGTAGTTTTCTCTCCTACAAGCCGGCATGGACTCTGTGATTTCCCTTTTGTCTTCAAGGAACAAGGAAACGTAGACGGAAGCTCACACTTTGATTTTATTTATCTGTCACAACTCACAAAATTACTATACCCTTGTTGGGCTCTTAAGAGGCCTTGATTTAGCGTAAATTCGTGTTTCTGGAACCAGGTGAACAATTTGGTCAAAATATGTGCGCTTCCTTGATGATAAATTCATGACACTAGCCTTACGATGTTATGATGTGAGTTGGATTTTAATTTAATTTATAATGTGAAAGAACAAGACACCCATGTTTATTAATATAAGGGTATTGTTTACGTTTAATTAAATAAATTAAAAATATATAAATTAAAAAATAATTATTTATTCTAATTAAATATTAAAATAAAAAACTAATTTTCTTAATAAAAAGTAAAAGAGTTGATATTAATTAAAATTTAAAAAAAATATTCAAAAATTAAAAAAAAAAAATTAGACTGCTATCCTAGAGCGGTCAAGCCTACACGCATGGCAAAGCATGAGAAATTCCATGTCCATGTAGCTGGCGGACTAATTTTCATTGAAGGAGTTGTTTGCTCCACTTTTTTATTTATTTATTTTTAAATGACTTTTTGTACATGACAAGAATTGTTTTTAAACCGATCTCATAACCAATTAAGTATAATAATAAGATCATGGATTAGATAAAGTGAATCGGGTTAACTCCGGTCAACTCAAAAAAAAAATATTTAAGCATACGTCGCTGAAACGTGAATCAAATTAACTCTTTAACACACAAACCCAACCAATCAAAAAAAAAAAATCTTCTTGACCTGTTGGCACCATTTAGCAAGGACATTGAGTCTAAGCATGCGCTGTTGAGTGTGAACCCAGTACTTCAAAAGACTAATCTTCTTGTCAGAATCAGGTTGTGGGTGGATTTGGATTTGTCCACCCATTCTTTCAAAGAAAGAAATGAAGCCTCGGCAGCTCGAATCACGAGAATTGAGAATTCCACAGTTTGTTGCCCTAACTCAGCCATTCCAGATCTTCAAGAGTGAGGGCTTTATTTCTTCTTTTGGTTTATTACTGGATCTGCGTATTAAAATTACTGTTATAAAGGCATAATAGAAGAAGCTAGGGTTTTTGGAGACATAAACAGAAGAATAGGTTTTGTTTTCTTTTACTTTTGTGTTCTGTGTTATTTTTTAGGTTTCGGAAGGAGAGAGAGATGGAGACTTACCTGGTATGGCTTGCGTGTGGCTTAAATTGCTCTGCAACTGATATGGCTGCTGTGAACTTCGAAGACAGGCGGGGATTTAGGTTTTCTGCTAAAGCCAAAAACGACGTTGTTTATATATATATAATAGTCTGGTCCGGATTTACTCGGGTCGATCGGTCCCGGGATTGACTGCGTTTTTTCAAGTTAATTTTTTGACTGGTTTTTTCGTTAACTTATCCGGATTTCAGTTCGGATCAGCAAGGTTTTCAATCAACCTATCTAAATCGGATTTTAAAACTAAATTTTTAAAAATTAAAAATTAAAAAAATAGTTTTGAAATCTCAAAACTCATTTTAAATTATTTTTTATTTGAAAACATCTTAAAAATACTGTAATAACATCTGTAAACTCATGTTTAACTCTAAAATACCCTTGGATGACTCTAAATAAAAAACCATAATTAAATGAATTAAAAAAACTTGAAGGACGTAGATCTACTTAAAATGCGAGGACCAAATGAAAAAAAAAAAGAAAAAAAGAAAAAAAGAGACTGCGTCATTGACTTGAACATGGCATATGTGAACAGTTCAGTTTGCTGTAAAACCAACCCAATCGTACAATTTTACTGTATAATTAATATAGAAAAGATGATCGTCGGAATGATTTGAAGTCATCGGCGATAAATTGAAAGAAAAATAATTAAAATGCTTCTATTTATAAAAAATAAATAAAACTTGATCATGGTCACGGTAACTTGGAGTCATGGAAGCAAAACCCACAAAATACTTAAAGTCGACCTCAACCTGTCGTCCTCGGTGTCAGTTTTTCCCTTCACTCTCCTCGAAACCCACTCTCTGCCATTATATATGAATAAATATGAACGTGACGTGACCTGTTATCCTTATCTTTTGCCCCCTCCATCAGGAAACCTTCATCTTTATTTTGTGAGCACAGTTGACCACTAGAGTCAACTCCTTCAACCGAAAATTAAGCGCCATTATTTTATGAACACCTCTAGCCATGCAATGAAGCAACGAGGATTTCATTAATTCATATAAAAAATTATTTGCAGACAACCAAAAAAGGGTGAGCATCGGCTCAAACAGTTCGATTTGAATAGAGACAGATTGTCCTTTCCTTTCATTTCTGTGAGAGTCGTTTTCTCTCCTACAAGACGGCATGGACTCGTGATTTCCCTTTTGTCTTCAAGGAAGAACGAAACATAGAAGGAAGCACACCCTTCGATTTTTTATTTATCTGTCACAGCTCACAAAATTACTTTACCCTTGTTGGGTTCGTAAGAGACCTCGACTAATTTCGTGGGATAAACAGTATCAGATAGCAAGCACAATATTCGTCCAGTTATAATTTTGTGCAAATTTTGTTCTGCATTAATCAAATATTCATTAAAATAACTTTTCTTTCTGTAATAAAGGACACTGTCATCCTTTTAAAGCATGGCGATCGGACTAGAATCTAATTTACCCGATGCTAGGATTGAGATGAATTTATAAAAAAGTAAAGGAAGTTAAAAACTTGAACAATTCGACATACATGATGGGTTAACTTAATAACTTAATTAACCTTGCTAAATCTAAACAAAATTAGTAATTTAAATCAGTTTAAAAACTTTGAAAACTATCTTTTAATAAATAACTAACAATATTTATAAAAAATTATTTTTTGTTGGAATCAAAGACTCTTGATAATTAAATTAATATTTTTATTGAGAAAAAAAAATATACTAAAAAATATTAAATTATAAGAACAAGATTGTTTGTTCTTATTCTAGATATTATTCTAGATATGTATATCTTTGAATGTAAATTGTGCATTTTTTACGCGACAGTTTAAGGGATATGTATAACCTATGGACCTTATTTTTTAATTAAACCACGAGATTAAAGAGTTATTTTGTCTTGATAGTATTAATAAGAAACAAATATTCATTGCACATGTATTAATAATAAAAAATATTTTTTACACATATATTAATAAAAAAAATAATGATTTGATTTAAAATATTTTTTAAGCCCGCTAATATTTGGCCATGTTATTAGGCTCAAAATTTTGAACTTTTAAAATTCCTTTTATAACACTTAATTTAGGTTTATTTGATGTCTGGATGAAGAAATTTAAGCAATAAGATGAGATTTTCCCTTCTTTTTTTTTTCCACTCTTATTCAACCAATAAAGCTTTTAAAGGAATCCAAAATACTATTTATATGGTCAGATTACAACAATATTATTATGCCTAAACTATGTATTTTTTTCATTTAACAAGGTATCTTATTTTAGTTGACTTTTAAAATTTACCATATTTATATATTTTAGTTCATAAAACTTTATTTCTAATTATTTAATGTTATTCTATTTAAGTTTTTCCATGAACCTATTTTTTTCCCAGGTTTAATTTACCAATAATATACTTATACCATAAACATTTTAACTAGAGGTTTAGATTAATAGAATGGTGTTATAAGTGAAATTTATATCAATAACCATGAAGGTCTATTGGATAGTTAGATATTTGGGATAAATATTGATGGTGATAGGGATCTCCAAGGCATCTTTCACTAATATGCATGTTCTTGCAATCCTAACGAGGAGTCTTTACAAGAATGAATCTTAAAGGGTTTATTCCTCTTTGTTCCATCAAATCGCCAAAGATAATATTTATTGCACTACCATCATCCACTGATATCCTAGAGACATAATGATTAGATAAAATTATACAAATGACAAGAGCATATCGTGTGGAAAAGTTACTCCTTTATTGTCTTCTAGGGTAAATATGATAGGTTCATATCACATGTTTGAAAGGCGAGATGTAGGAAGGACTTGCTTTTCATATTTCTTTTTACCACTTTCATTATCACCTCCTACTAAGGTTCCACTTAAAATCACATTGATCTTTGACAATACTTGGTTGGGTTGACTGGACTCTTCTCTATCTTGTTTAATATAGGTATTCCTATTTACAATTGTTGGATGTCATGGTGTACATGATGTCGAATGATGAATCTACCCCTTAGATTAAAAGAGTTTATGATATTTTAGGATAAATTATAAGACTATGATTTAAAAGGTTGATGAGTCGACACCTAGTGTTATAGTCACTAGAAGACCTAATGGTCTGTGAGAGTTTGAGTAAGATGACTAGTTATGTATGAGAAATACATATTATTTCTATTGTATCTTACTTATGGTAAGCTGCATTATTGATTAATTATTTTTTCTAAATTATGTTTCTATTCATTGGTCTGTCTAAGGTTCAAGAAAGGTTTATTTTAGTAAAGGGGTCTCTGCCCTATCGAATATTGTTGTGTTTAGACTCCTTACAGCAGTATAAATGTCTGTGAGTACTAGGAACGGTTTGTTGCAGTGGCATTAGGACCTCTGGTGTTACTAACGGTGTCAAGACTTACTGGGGTAGCACAATTCAGTTATACCCTTGAGTAAGTAACACCTCTAGAATCAGGTGTTATATTTGATTAATGAGTTGTTGGAAGTTTGACTTGGTAGAAGAGCCGGCAATAAATATACATCTATTACCCATTTAGGTCTGGGTTTATCTTGATTATTTGCCATAAAATAATTTTAAAATATCAAAAGAAAATTTTAGAAAGAAACTGATGACTTTTTTATTAGTTTTTCATAAATGGTGTCAATTGATGATGTTTCAAAATAAAACGTGCTTAGAAATATCATTATTTGGTGATTGGATTGTGGGTTATTCCAAGAAACTATCTCTTAATGAATAACTCCTGATATTTATAAAAATCATTTTTTTTGGGTACTCGAGGGCCCTCATATGATTAAATCAGTAATTTTATAAAAGAAAAGAATAATAAATATGTTAAAGAGCATTAAATTCTAAGAATAAGATTGTTTATAATTGTTCTAGATATGTGTATCTTTGAATGTAAATTATGATCATTTTAATCGGACAATTCAATGGGTATTTATAGCCCATTAACTTTGTTTTTTGGTTGAGTCATGAGGTTGAAGAGTTTTTTTCATTGATAGCATCAATGAGAACTAAATATTTTTTATACATGCATTAATAAGGGACAAATATACCTTACACATACATTAATAAGAAAAAAAATGATTTAATTTAAGATACTCGTTGAGCCCATAAACATTTGGTTGTGTTATTGGGCTTAAAGTTATGGCTAAAACTCATTAGGGTTGGACTCAACACCTGAACTCGAGCGCTCTGTATTATTTATTAGATATATCTAAAAATTAATAAAAAATATTATTAAATATTTTAAAAAGTCTCATTTATAGTTTTGTCTAAATCTCTCATTCACTTTAAGTCGACTTTGCTTGAATAGAAGCATGATATTGCTTGCTTATAAAGTTTGTAGAATATTACCACCTTGTTGTTGTACTGATTTTGTTGCCATCCATGAATGGAAATTCATGTCATTTAATACTATTTTTCCCCTTGTATCATACATAAATACAATTTTTCTTCTTTTGATTTATGTGAGAGTAGTTTTCTCATTATAACATGGATTTGCGATTTCATCTGTCTTCGAAAAAGAAGGAAACATAGAAGGAATCTCATACTTTGATTTTATTTATTTGTCACAACTCACAAAACTAATATACCTTTATTGAATTCTTAAGAGTCGTTAATTAATTATAAGGGATTAACAATACCATTAATATTTTTTTTTAAATTTAGATTTTTTAAACTATATAAATACATTGAAAGAATTTACACATATAATTTTTTTATAAAAAATAAAAATACATAACCCATGGTAAATTACAATCCTATAAATAGTATATTACGAAAGCTTATCACCATAGTCTTCGAGTTATAATTTGTGAAAACTTTTGCGTTAATTGTCAGTCCTTTTCAATGTAATACGACTACAAACGTCGAAGCACATCACAATCAACAATAGAAAATAATAGCATATCCACCAAGCAGCTTGTAGCTAAGTGGCGTAAGGCGTTACTCGTCTTCTTTCGAACCTCGGTTTGAGTCCCAGTAGGAATGGGGCTGACGAGTGGTGTCCTTCCTGGTTCTGCTAGCTCCTTGCTGTGTGGTACGCCTGTCGCCCCCGTGGTGCCTAACCTGTTCACTGAGGCTTGCAGGATGTCCAGTGGACCGTGGGATTAGTTGTGGTGCGTGTAAGCTGGCCCGGACACCCACGTTAATAAAAAAAAAAAAAGAGAAAATAATAGCATATAGCCTTCATATATTGAGAAGGCATTAATCTGGTGGGCTGGTAGGTTTTTAATTTTCATTAATGGGCTTCC